TGACGTGTGTGGCATGTGCGGAATGAAATAACTCATGGCAAGCCCCCACCTCCAACGGAAGCATCTCGCAGATTTCTGTAAGGCTACATCAATTCCTTGTTGTGCATTCATCAGTGGCCCCAAGGTAACATGGAGAAAGGAAAGATGGTTGTTCAGGTTGGTCTTCTGGCGCCACAAGAGCGCGTACGACAGAAGGTGGAGCTGCGGTGGACGCTACCCTCGGCTGGATGGACAAAATTGAACGTGGATGGCAGCTATGTACCGGCTACAGGAGCAGCTGGAGGGGGCATGGTCTTGTGAACAGACCAAGGGAACATAATCTTCACTGCATGTAGGGAAAACCGCTCATGTGTTAATGGCCTAGAGGTCGAGTTGGTGGCGTTTAGGGAGGGGCTCGAGCTAGCCCTGCACCGCACGGATCTGCCCATTCTCATCGAGATGGATAGCGTCGAGGTTGTGAACATGTTGAACACTTCGACAAGTGATCGCTCGAGGAACCGCGTGCTAGTTGAGGAGATTAAGAGGATGAAGGATGCTGAGACTAGGGAGATTTCTATCACGTCTATTAGTCCCTCACAAAATAAAGTTAGCCGCGTTCTTGCTGCTTACGGTAGAAGTACCCCCCGTACTGCAGTATGGCTGGATTCGGGTATGTGTGACATTGTAAACTTGGTTTTGGCGGATTTGCCTCCTTGAGTAATAGAAATCTCTCTTTACCCCGCAAAAAAAAACATCAGCGCTCTAGCAGTACCTTATTCTTCTTTTAAATCGGTCATATATAATAGGATGTGGAGCAGTTTCGTAATAGGATTGTGGTAGGATGGAGATCCTATCGTAAGGCAAATTCTTTTTTTTAAGCCGTTTGTTTGTTCAGCGTCAATGCTAGAATTTGCTTGTCATCGTTAACTATTCATGAAAATATGAGTCTATAGCTTGCAAGAAATGCATACACGTGTAGGATTGAGACGTGCGTGGCCGATCTATGAAACGTGGAAGATGAAATGTAGCGCTGCCAAACCAGGGAACACCAATGCATCAATGGCAAGGGAAGGGAAGCGTGCAGCGTTGCAGGGCAACCCATGTCCAGCAACCCAACTTATGGATGTGCCCGAGCTTCAAATGAAAAGAAAAACTTATGGGTGTGTAGAGGAGGAGAGGCAGTTGGGTACCAAAATGCATGATGCATTGCTCGCCCACTCCTCTGGATGTCTGTTCCTTAAATCTGCCATGGTTCCAAGGGTACACAGCGGAAAGGAAGGCTCCTCCTTTCCTTTCCATATGAGCATGACGTGACACTTCAATGCCATGCTAACATCAGGTCCACAAACCAGCTGCTCACAGACACCCATCTGATTTTGTTTTCCCGTTGTTGCTCCATGATTGAAGAATATTCAGGACCATGGCATGGCATTGCTTGCATTGATGCACTGCCTTGGCCCCACTCAATCAGCTTACGTATCTTTTTTTCCACGAATGCATAAAGCTTGTCTATCTTTTCATTGATAGAAGAAAATAGAATGAGTAGAATAGAGGATACAACACGAACGTAGGAGGCATGAGCAATAAACCCGGAGCAGAGAGACAGGGGATGAGCAGTCCGAACAGGGAAAAGACACAACTAAACCCACCAAGCATGCAACTAGAGAGGCGGGCCGAACCAGCATGACGTCGAACATCTCCAAATCCAACTCCGGGGACACTGCGAGCAAGTAAGATTGCACCTTCAAGAAGGGAAACGACGTCATGGCGCCGCCGTCATCCGATCCAAAGAACCGGACCTAGGGTTTCCCCCGATGCTTAAAGAGGAGCACAGATAAAGGCCATGACAGCGCCTTCAAGAAGGAAAACGGCACCCGTAACCCGTAAGTGTCGTCGCTGCCAGCATTGGCAAGCCGAGCAAGGATTTCTCCTGGCTTGAGTTCGAGGAATCCCATAGCCGCCACATCAAATTCTGAAGATGAGGAAGTCAGCCCGCCAGACGACCGCCACCTCGGATTGGGAGGGAGGGGGGGAGGGGGCTGGGCGTTGTACCTGCCGCCACCGAAAAAACACGAGCTTTGCATCCGACATGGCATGTATGTGGATGGGATCGGGAAGGCAGCAGGCTAGAGAGCTTGCACGGAGAGTCGGATGGCGATTGGCACCACCGGCAAGTCAGGAACCAGAAGAGAATGCAATGACGAGTTGTCGGAGGCGGAGCCACTAGAACACCGACGAGCCGAAGCTGGAGGGGATGCAACAATTGAAGCGCCGGGGCCGCAAACACACCTGGAGAGACGCGGGCAAGCCACCGGCGATGGAGAACGCAGGTCCATGGCCGCGGGGACCGGGGCGGTGCCGGCAAGGATCCACCGTAAAGCTTACACATCACCACCATCAAAGTTGTTACCACTGTGAGTGACACTTTGCTCAATCGATAATCAGGCAGCAATTGCATGAGCTTCCTAATTTGTTTTTAGATCAATACTAGTTCAATAGCTTCGTTGTTTGCTTTCCCCCAAGAGGTGAAAAAATGATCGGGCCAAAGCACGCAGCGGCATTGCATTTCCTGCAAAGGATTTAGCATGTCCAACAACCACGCTCTGACTGCCATCATCACTCCCTCAAATCGTTCCAGCCTTAATTTTCTGAAAACCCAGCCCAGCAATGGCTAAAGCGAGCAGTGTCTTTCCAAGCTGACCTCCTTGCTAGTAGCCAGTAGGACCTCAACCACACAAGAGAACAAGAAGCTGCAGCGGCAGCAGCAGGGTAGGGCTGGCCGGCTGGATGGATGGCTTTCTGTTCTGTTGTGTGGAAAAGGACCGCTCATGGGGACAAGAAAAAGTTGAGATAGGGAGATGGAGAAGATTAGCAGTACTTCCTCCGTTTAGGTGTACAAGTCACAATATCAGATTTTCCCAAAACCTTTAGGCATCAAACATTAACTTTCTCTTCGATCCTCTCGCAGCCTTGTTAGCCAGCGTTCTCTTTCTTTGCTGCCTCGTACTACCCTTTCGTTTTTCCTCTTCTCAAGTGTAAAACGATCCTGCATGCTGTCTTTGATGAGGCATGCACGAGAACGACCACTGCATGCATCGTAGCAGGGCGTTGATTGGGCCTGAAAAGACATCATAATAACTACGTATTAATTGTTGATTTTGCTTCCATTTATAACAGCGCTGTGGTTGGAAGTTTTGCTTGTCCTGGTGCTCCTTCTCGTCCAATCTACACTCATCTAGGTCGTGCTGCTACTCCTAATATGACTTACTCATCTAGACAGAGAAAATAGTATAGGAGAGATGAGAGACCCATCAACTGTCATTCATAGCACTCGCCAGAGGCAACAGATCACTCTCTCTACTCATCTGATCTCGAGCCCTCTCCATAAAGAGCAGTGACCATTTTTTATCATGACATGTTGAAGGCCGTGTATTGCTTTAAGATTTGGCAAATAACCCCACAGTGGAAATGTGACTAGGAAGAAGCATTTAAGAGAGATGGTAGTCCTTCCTAGAATCCTAGTGCATCCGTTTACGGATCGATGGGACCAGTCCACGCACATTGACATGGAAGCTGGACATCCAACCATAGCAGCAAATGTCTCGTTTCATTTCGAACAGAATTTTAGAAGAAAATATGGTGCAAATTTATACAGACCAGGCAATTTTCTTCGAACTTGAATAATTACATAAATCGGACGATATTTCATCTAGTGAACTAATATCTACCATATACTTGTCGGTGACCTCGTACGGCGGCGACACCACCTCCTTCACGCGGCAGAGAGGCGCCGACGGCTGCTCCTGCTTGACGCGATGGCAACTGTTTCGCCTTGATGCGGGTGAAAGTGAGGAGGGGATGTTTGCTCTACCTTGACGACACAAAGAAGCGGCTCCGGTGGCACCGCCGGGCCGTGGTCATGGAAGAGCGACCGACGGAGCATCAGCTCCATCTCCTCCTCGTACTCAGCATCCGTCACCGCATAAACCGCGTCCTGCAAGAGGACAAGCCTCTGTATTGGTTGACCCTCCTGGTCACCAGAGGAGATGACGATCTTCTCCTTCGTTGAGGAACTGGCCACCGAGGATCAAGACGGCCCTGGAGTGCAAGGCGGCATCGCCACGCTCTCCTACTCCCTGATCCAGACCTGCCTATCAGCGCTGCCGAGGCCCAAGACTTCCCATCGCCAGACGCGTAGAGGAAGAGGGGAGCGAAGGAGGTGCATGGCGATGATGAGTGTAGAGTACATTGTGGACGATGCCGGCGATGAGCTTAAATAGCCCCGGCCAGGCCAAGCGAATGGACGGTCAGCCTGCTTCAATGAGCCGCAACGACCGAAGTTGGTTCCTCGGGACGCTGCGTCCACAACGAAGCGACGTCGCCCGAGAGGTCGCGTCGGTCAGTGCCGCATTCTCATCCGATCACATCGCGTGGCATCAATGTCAGACGTGGCATGCTTTGAGAAGCTCTTATTAGATTAACCAGTTTAGCTGACATGAGACAAGAAGAAAAGTAAAAAGAATTACACACTGGGATTTGGCTGATGGGAATGGTGAGCTAGTGGAATGCGACACTGGGTCCAAGCTGACGGTGCACAACCCCATTGGCTAAGATGTGGAGTTAGCGAAAAGCCAACGACCTGACCTGATATATGGAGTGAAAGGTGAAAACGATGTTAAAGTAAATCAGTACATACATATCCACTAGAGGCAAAGCAATAAGATATGAGGTGAGTGGCCACCATGAAAAGATTGCTTTGACTCATGCAGAATGGACATGTCGGTCAAAATGACAAAATGACACCGAGCTGGCCAAAATGGTACTAGTAATGTTGATCACATGAATATAAGCTGATTGAGCATTAGCACCTACTCTACCACTGTGGTGGTGACAAGATCTAGCAATTAGTGATCAGAATGTTTTCTTTTCCTTTTCGACCAAATTTGAGCAGCTAAGCGGACCAAGAAGCTCCTACTCTAATTAAGTAAGAAGACGTAGCAGAAATTAACAACAAGAGTGGATTAAGCTCTAGCGTGCATGGGGCGCCATGCGGAGGCGGTGAGCAGGGTGAGGTCCTTCCAGCCGAGCTTGAGGGCGCCGTTCTCCTCGACGAGCGTGTAGCCGTCGGAGGGGAACATGCCGAGGAGCAGCGCGGCCTGCGCGGCGGCGCTGCCGGCGAGCGAGGCGGCGCCGAAGCCGGAGCGGGCGAGGCTGTCGCGCCAGCAGCCGAACTTGACGTCGCCGGTGCGCGACGGCCCGCCCACGGCCAGCACGTTGCGGATCTCCCGCGACAGCAGCTGCTGCTCCACGACGTGCCGCTCCGGGCTGTCCTCGCCGTAGCTGGCGTCCAGCGAGTCGAACAGCGCCGAGTAGTAGTGGATCGCCTCCACGAACCGCGCCAGGAACGACCCCGTGTGCCGCAGGTCCTGCTCCACCATCGTCACCACCTTGGGCGCCAACCTTGACATACATCATCAACCATTCTCAGGATCATAGTTCATACATGGATTACTACTAGTAGTAGATGACAGTGATTTCCGTCAGCTAAATGTGGAATCAGCATGAGTGGCACTTGGAACGAGAAAGTTGGGACCTTTTTAGGATGATGAAAAGTTGGTCATGATGATGAGAACCTTTTAGCGATCTAGTACAAACCAAATGGACGAGAAATCTTTCCAACTTCTCGGATCACCAAAGTTGAAACCTTTCTAAAGTAATCCTAAAAAAGTAAAAAAGCCAAGCCGGTCATAATGACAAGCTTTTAGCGCCCCAAATAGCAGTTTTTTTAGTACTACTACGTAGTACTACATCTCCTGACCTTAAACCAAATCAACGCATTGTCATTGATGCTTGCTTGATGTGTACTACGGTGGTACTAGTATGTCACGGTGTCACATTGGTAAGGAAATGCAGGCTGGAAAGTATGCATGATTCCATGGTAGACTTGACATTGGAAGCAGCATGGCGTAGACGTAGAGTAGGAGTAGCACAGCGCACAGACACAAAGATAGAGTACCTCTTGATGAGACACAGCGTGTTGGAGTCGGAGCCGGTGACGTCGTAGAGGGAATGGTGCAGCCAGTGGACGGCGACGGCCTCGCGCCGCGTGACGCCCAGCTTCTCCGGGTCAAGATTCCCGGCCTTGTCCGCCACGGGGCAGAACTCGAAGGGCAGGCCCAGCGTGTCGGCGAAATCCGACAGCCGCTTCCCGGTGGCCTCCAGGGCGTCCATGGAGGCGCCCAGCCCGGTCAGCCTCACCCTCGGCGGGCCGCCGGGCCGGGACGCCAGGATGTGGAACAGCCCCGGCCACTGGAGCCCCTGCATGATGTCCAGGTCGATGATGTGCACGCGCTCCTCCCGCTCGAACGCCTCCTGGATCGCCTGGTTCGCCGTGAAGTGGGAGAACTTCACCAGGGGGCTGATGCCGTTGAACACCTGGAACGCCGCGGCCACGCGGCCGTTCACCAGCCGGGACGCCGCCGGGGACGCGTGGGGCAGCGGCGCGTAGAGGCCCAGGCAGGAGCTGACCAGGCGGGCCGACACGGCCTCCGCGAAGTAGGCGGCCACGCGCTGCGTGGAGGTGCCGAAGGGGGTGGCCAGCTCCGCGATCTCCAGCAGCGCCGTCTGGGCCTCGTCCAGGTTGTCGGCGTTCACCGACTCCGCGCACTGCAGGAGCAGCGTCAGCAAGTGGAGCCCCTCCTCGTCGCGCTGCTTCCGCCGCTGCCCCTCCTTCCGCTCCTTCACCGCCGCGGAGGCGGCAGCCGCCGCCGCCGCTGCGGCCGCGGCGGCTTCCTCTGCGGACGGAGGCTTGGGCGACTGCGGCGGGTTGTTGGGCTCCCGCTCCTCCTCGCGGCGCCGCTTGTCCGGAGGCGGGGGAGGGAGCGCCACCATGGGCATTGGGGCGTTAGGGAGGAGAGCGGGCTGATGCTGATGCTGCTGCGGCGGGGCGGGGTCGGATGCGAGGAGGGACCGGAGGCGGAGCTCGAGGAGCGAGGCCAGACCGGGGTTGCAGGGGTGGATGATCTCGCGGACGTTGTGGATGAGCTGCGCGACGGACACCCCGGCGCCGCTGCTCCCGATGATGTCCCGGATGATGCCGTCCACGAACGCCGTGGTGTTGGCCGCCTCGCCCGCCTGCGCCGGCGCGGCGGCGACGTCCATATGATCCACGGGCTGCTGCTGCTGCTGCTGCTGGAGCTGGAAGGGCGGAAGCAGCTGGGAGGGCAGCGCGGGCAGCTGCGCGGTGGCCGACGACAGCACGGGCGGTCCGGCGGTCATGTCCGAGAGGTCCCCCGTGACGTGGCGCCGCGGCGGGGGCAGGTCCATGTCGGTCGCCGGGCGCTTGCGGACCATGGCGGCGGCGGCGGGTTCTTGCTCTCGGTGGTCTAGGAGGTGGAGGTGGAGGAGGAAGTCGGGAGGGCAGGGGAGCAGGTGGCAGTGGGAGGAGGCGGTGGCATGGGAATAAGA